CACGGTTCGGCACGCTGCATTGAGCGTTTAGATTTTAAGTGTCTGTCCTCTAACTGAACTAGGCTAAATTATTTTTGTTACTATAAAAAAAATCTAAACGACAGTGGGGGGGCAGTGCCGCGGTGGGCAAATGACGTAACCGGTGTTGTGGCTTAACACCGGTATAACCGAAAACACCGTCTAACGCAGCAAGCCTAGCCACCGGCAGCCAATCAAATTTCAGCATTTTCTCAATATGAATGGCAGATGATGGCTGTAATTCTTATGTTGTCCACTAGATGAGATCCTTTTAGGTCTTCTTTGCATCTTTTTCCATCAATGTGAATGCCTGAATATTTCTGCATTGTTTTTGGAACTATCATGCGTTTTTCTAAGCTGTTCAGTATCAGCGGAGATTCCAGACTGTGTTGACTTCGCAGTACAAACACATAATATCTGAAAAGATACATGGCAGTTTTATCACCTATTTGTCCACATGAACGATTGGCGCTTTGACCCAGATAATCACCTCTTGCAACTAGCCTATATTTGTGCTTATAATCGTACTTTTGCAAACTATTCTAACTCAATAATTTAAAAGCCATTGGAAATATCCTATTGGGTTTTTGTGAAGGACATGTGTGATCAGCCGGAATCACTTATGTAGTAATATCATGTCATGTAAATTTTAAATACTACCAAAAATAATTTGACTCATTCGTTTCCGTTTATAAAAAGAAAAAAAAACGCATCTACAGAGAAGTGCATTTACAATGGAAGGCAACATGACAAAGCGCATTACCGTAAACTGAAACTATTTTTGCACTGAATATGGAATGTGCCTTCAACGCAATGACAAGGGAGATGGTTGTGGCTTCAGTTCAACCTCGCCTAGATCATGAAGAACTCGTGCCAGAGCAAGAAAAACAAATCCCAGCAAAACAGGCCTGAAGCAGGCCAACGGGGTTTCCAATGAAGAGCACCATGAGTCAGTCAGTCAGTCGGTCGCTGTGTTCCCTCTGCCCTGCACCATACGTCACAAATAGCTTCAATTAAATGAGTGAAGAAGAAACAGACACTGTGCTTTCACTCTGCTGATTCTATCATATATCATGTTCTTGACAAATGCACTCGGATGATAAACACCTCTGTTCCTCACTCAAATAATGGCTGTGTTTTACAGATGGATTTTCTCTTTGATCCAGCCGCTCCAAGAGAAAGCCCCAAACTTCCAGAGCGCCGCAGTCAGAGCCTTCCGGCAGAATCCACGTCTATTCTGTCAAACAACAAGACCTGAACAATGTGGGACTTTTGCAAACACACATGACAATTCATGACATTTCTGTGCATCTCACAGACTAGGAATCCCACTGCTGCACCCACAAAACACACCTCTAACAATCTCAACAGATCGACTGACCAGCATTATAGTGGTAACCTATATGTCTGATCCTCAAATTGGGTAACACCATGTCTGCACCGGACGCGAGCGGCACAACGCAATGCTGTCTACACTGGTTGCGACACGACATGACAAATCCCAGACAGTAAACCGATGCCTCGTTCTATTTATGATGTACTGACACAAAGTTCAAATGATTTGCAACGATCGCTTTGTCGCGTCCGGTGTAGACACGGCGCAAGGAAACAGATTTTTAGCAGTAACTTATAAACCTACAGTGAGCCAGGTTGTTCATCTATGATACATGCTTCTGTTGAAGCCATCAGCCTGCATTATTTCAGCTTTTTTTTTTTTTATATAAGTTTAACATTGGAATTCCAGGTGGAAAACTACATTACCCATGATTCTGCAAAGAAATCTCCACCAATCACTGAAGCGAAACAAGCAAAACATCCCAAAATAACTCTTTAGTGCCCGCACACTCTCATAGAGACCCTGCGCTCGCAACTTACTTAAATAATTGCACATAAACCTTATTATGCGTCAGAGAAATTCATAAATTCGTATGTGGAAATACAAACGAATGCAGCGCTGAAAAGGGGCGAAGCTACATAAGGTCTACTATATATGCATATTGCGCAATAAATGTAAAATGTTATTTCTATTCAACATCTATTTAAATTTCTATTCAAATCAAAATCAATAGTTTTATATTTATCTATGGGTTTTAATTTATTTAATTACAATGCTTCCATCAGTTAAAATGTGCCCTTGTCTTTTTGTCCGATTTTCAAATACGTTTCGCTCCAAATGTAAGTTTGTAATAATGTTAAAACTGACCTCGTAGCTAATTGGTGTGGTTCATGGCTTAGAACTCCTTAACGAGGACTTTAAAAAAAAATCCCTATGGAAAAAATGAATGGGAATCTAATATATAACAGCTCTAAGGCGTTTCACTGTTTATGTCATTCCACTTGTCTTTTACAGCAGTCCAGGTCAGCAGAGTTGACTGAAGCTGATTTTTGGAAAGCGTCTATATTTTCTCCTATTCCAAGATCGCTCGGAGTGGGCGGGAAATGAAAGAGAAAAAAAAAACAGGCTGGATTCCAGAACATCTTGAGCAAAAGTGCTGTTACATACAGATTCAGTTACATGTTTTGCTTGGTGAGCTAACTACTTGTTTAATAAAGAAAAAGATATGTTTAAATGTCTGTCTGAAACACAAATTGCTGACGATTGTTCATTGAATTGAAAATATCTCTTGAAACGTGTGACAGAAGAGAATGCAGTGCCCTGTAGGACGACTACACTTCTCATGTGAGGGTTAGATAAAGTGGCTTTATATTCAGCATGACAGACAGAGTGCTTCCTGTATGCCTAGAAACACGTGTTGCAGCTTCATGCAGGAGCAGGAATGATTGACGGTGAACACACTTGACCTGCTTGATTTACCAGACTGAAATGTCCTGGGAACACACACACAATGGAGTTCTATTTCTATCTCTGACAGAGGACACCGCTAGGACAGGATCCGCCCACATTTTTAGGGGCTGTCCAGGAAAACGAAAGAGACCGGAGAGGACACTCCTCCAGACATATCGAGGCCCGTCCTTGATGTCAGCAGCATGCAAAGAAATGCATTTCTTTCCTTCCAGAAAGCCCCAAGCCACACGTTTTTGCTCTTATTTAACTTTGCATTAGTCAAATACACACAGATATGAGCACAATCAATGGATTTCCTGCAGAGCTTAGGTACTGCGTTGGGTCACCACTTGATGTCTAATGTAAAATCTAGGTGTTGAAGGAAAACCACTAGTTTTGAGTAAATTATGTAATATTTAGAAGAGGTTTCTTTCTAGCAGGAGTCCTCACAAGCATGAGTAACCAAGCGCAGTGGTGAGGAGAACACTTAATGCTGGAATTATGAGTCAGAGCAACAACCCACTCCACCTAGCCTATGTTTTTCTCATAAGGTAGTTTTTCTGGAGTCAAAATGACAGATTGCTGATATAATTTTTTCAGCTGATTTATATCAGTTTTTATGACTTCTTAAAAATAATTATATTTGATAACAGATCATGTTTATGCATTTTTATGATTGTCTTTCATAGATGTTCAGTAAGTTATATCCACAAATGAATTTTAATTAAGTTTACATTTTTATTTATTTTATTGCCTTTTTACACAATAACAACCAATTATTACTTTATACTATTGTTTGCATATTACGCACTTATATATCTTTTTTTAAATAATTATTTTTTATTATAGATTATTTTTAGGTATGATTTTCATTTATATAAGATGTTTGATTACTTATATCCATAATAAGTAATAACAACAAATTATAACATATATACACACACACATATATGTGTGTGTACGTATATATATATATATAATATATACCGTACCCACTGTATATATATAATAGATTACTTTTATGGATTATTGACTTTTTATATATGTTTAATAACTTCTATGCATAACTGAGTTATAGTTGTTTAATTCTTTATAATTTTATTGGTTTATTAGACAATAATAACATATTTTATTACTTTATTATTATGTGTGCATTGCTCACTTATATTATTTATTTTAAAATAATATTTTTTATTACAGCTTATTTGTATTTATTGACTTTTCTTTGTAAAAAGTGTGATAGCTTACATTCACAACTTTTATTGTGCTATTCTTTTTTTAACACAATAGTTACCACAACAATAAAACCCCTAATATGCATTATGCATTTATTATTATTAACCCATGGCCAGCACGCAGCAAATCTGGCATCACAAAACCCACATAAGATGTTCAAAAATGCTCCACGCGATTATGAAGCCTAAAAGCAACAGTTAAGAACAGAAAATGATTAAACATAAAATGCAGTGCAATCAGTTCGGACGTAGCACCGTGCGTGAGGCATCTCACTCGATTCTGACGGACTCCTAAATCCATAAATCCATTCTCATTTCCTGCTCATTTGATTCATGCAAAGTAAGCCCAAAAATGTGATCTAGTACGCATGTCACTTTTAAAACACGGACATTCTCAAACAACATTTACCATTGGACAGCCACCAGTGGCTTCTGCAGAGCAAAACGTCCACAGCAATGGTATTAAGCGCGCCCTTTGCTGGTGCAAGACCTTCCTTTTGCAAAGAGCATGTTCTCACTCAACGTGCAATGCTGCAACATGGCTCTCAACAAACAGACCTGGAAAACACACTGGACCAAACGCAAGAGGCCCGAGCGTGTTATGCAAGATCTTTACGCGCGACATCCAGTAACCTTATAGATATTTACCACACGGTTCCATAAGCTCCAGAACCCACGGGCGACAAATTCTGGTAGCGCTCCGGAACCTCCCATATGGTCTTATTGAGCTCCTGTCGATAGAAAGTCGGTCTCTCCTTCTGGGACATTCCTGTAGAGGTGTGGAAACTTCTGTGCTGCTCTCTTGATCTCAGTGCTTGATATAAACAAACACAAAAACTAAGCAAACAAAAGCGCGAGCTCCGCGTTCAGTCCTATCCGCGTGCATTAGAGGACATCAGTCAAATGCATAAGTTCTGCACAAACTCCAGCTCTGCTCCTGGAAGAGTCGCGAGGTGGCAAAGCGTGAGATTTCTTCTGCGGATTTCTTTTTCTTTTTCTTTTTTTTTTCCTGTTACAGGTTCTCCTCTGACTAACACGCTTGACGTCACTGCACAAGGGCAACTCTCGGGACTTCGTCCCAAACCTCGCGAGAACGAGAACTTCTGTTTATTATGATTAATCAATATGAATATAAGCAACACCGAAACAGAAATAATCATTCACGACATGTATACAAAGTAACTGTTTAAATTATATGAGCAGTAAAATAATAATAAAAAATCTAGTAGCCTTTAGACTTGTCATTTGCACTTATATATTGTTGCTCTTTTGTTAGTTTTGACTGCTTTTGTTGTCCTCATTTGTAAGTCGCTTTGGATAAAAGCGTCTGCTAAATGACTAAATGTAAATGTAAGCACTGCAATATTCAGTATACTGTATGTATGCTTGAGCCAGTTCCTCAGTAATATTAATGAATAATATATGCTTTTATCTTTTTATTTTCTATTTGACATTAAACATATGTCATAATATCTCTTAAAATGTTCAGATACAGTTTAAAATGCCATATAAAAATAAAATGTATTGCTTTGATACTTCTCAAGCATAAATAAATAATCCTTTCGTCAATAAAACAATATATTTATCGGTAATAAAACAATAGTAGGCCTACTATGCTGAATTCGGAACCGCATACTAGTAAACTACTCTTACTGCTTACTATTCATACTCTTACTAGTACTTGCTACTTTTTTATAGCAAGTAGCAAGTAGCTTTATTATAATAATAATAGCATTAGTACTAATATATGCTTTTATCTTTTTATTTTCTATTTGACATTAAAAATGTCATAATATCTCTTAAAATGTTCAGATACCAGTTTAAAATGCCATATAAAAATAAAATGTATTGCTTTGATACTTCTCAAGCATAAATAAATAATCCTTTCGTCAATAAAACAATATATTTATCGGTAATAAAACAATAGTAGGCCTACTATGCTGAATTCGGAACCGCATACTAGTAAACTACTCTTACTGCTTACTATTCATACTCTTACTAGTACTTGCTACTTTTTTATAGCAAGTAGCTTTATTATAATAATAATAGCATTAGTAAAAGCGGGGGGAGGTGGTGCGCATCACGAATGCTGATCACAAACGCTAATCTGATTGGTTCATCCTTAAAAGCGCTGAGAAAAGGAACAGGTTCCACGAGGCGGTGTTCGGGTTTACAGTAACTTTTACAGCTACTGAAATCAAAGTGCACAGTGAAAAGTTCAAATTGAATTCTTATTTAAACCATCTCAACAGCACTGATTTAAATATGCTTAAAACTTTCGGTGGATCACATAACTGCCCGGACTATGGACAGCCCAGAGGTGTGGGATAAACCGCAAAAATCCACCGACTCTCTGCTACACACGACAAACACTAAAGGATTCAAATGAAAAGGACAACAACCGAACACACCTAGCTAGCACTTTACAATTGATTTACTCGCCAGCTAAGTGAATAGAGAAACGCAGTTTTCTAAATCTTCGAATCAATTGGTAAAATGATTAATTTGCTTCAAAGCGCTCGAAACACTGCACGCTGAGGACATCTGCTGACCAAAGACAAATACATACATAAGAAACCTCTTCTCACTCAGTGTTGTGTTGCATAGGATTACACAGAAATTATTTATTGTGTTCCACGTTTACAAATATGAACCTCCAACAACTAGCATTTTCTGTAGAGCTTGACTGTGTACATTTACAGGCTGAACGAGGATAGTTCAATTGTGGACTTTTGTACATGCAGAGTTGATGATAGGTTCAGATACGACATGCATTTGAATGCCTAAATACAAAAGAACATCCTGGCATCTACATGTTTGTAATGTGTAATAGACAAAACTGCATCAACACAAGAAAATATCATAGGACTGTATTACAGAAATCTTAAATCTTGACTTAAGAGTTGAAAAAGTGAAATGAACCCTCTTATTTATACATGTTAAAGATTGAACTTGTAGTGTATTTTCCACAAACGATTTGAATTTTCCCAATTATATCATATCATCCACATATAATATGATAGCAGGACCATTCAGAAAAGTGTTGACGTCTATGTTTATTGTAGTTTTATGTTAGCTGTGTATTTATCAAACCGAACCAAACAGACACGTCTCTACAATGAAATCACATGGTGTTGATCAAGAAGGTTTGCTTTTACATATATTATAAAATTAACTATATATGTGGTATCAAAAAATAATGTTGTACAAGTTTTGTTTTGATCTACTAGCATTACTAGTTTGCCTATTTGAATGGGAAGGTTTCCATGAAGTCTATGGAATATTTTTCATAATTTGTCCCATGCTGCAAACAATAGGTTTTATATGTTTATTATAAACATTTGGGGTAATTTAAATAATGACATAAGCCATTCATGACACCTAAACCTAAAATAGCTCTCAATAAATGACATTTTTGTAAAAAAAAAAAAAAAAAAACTTATATTCAAAAATTGTACAAGATAACATTGTTTCTGCCTTCTTTACTGTACCCCTCTAAGCCCAAGCAAAATAAGTTTGAATCCATAATAAGTTCTTCATTTCATCATCGGCAGGTATTACGGTTTAACCCTGATCCAAGCCCGAATTCACCCGAAATCTAATCTTAAGTTGAACATTTACAGAAATGGAAAGCAGGTCTTAAATCGGTGCTAAACCGCAGGTGGAGTCGGCTCTCTGTGCATCTCCTCCTCGATACTCGCCAGCACTGCATTTCTACAGGCGTTCAGAGTCCAGTGTCCCGAGAGAGCGATTCATCCGGGTCACTTCAGAAAAATCAGGTAAAATGCCATACACATACAGGACGCCGCCACAGCAATGTGGAGCCGTGTGCCTATTACTGCAGCTAGAGAGACAAGAGAAAACACACAGCGCGTGAAACCTCACTGCAACGTCATGAGCTTCATTACAGATCCGACAGATGGCGTACCTTTGTAAAAGACTCCCCAGACACCCTTCTTCTCAGACAAGAGCCAGCTGTTCAGACGGGGGACCTTCTTCAGGTATGCACACGTGCAAATGAAAAGAAGCCCAAATACAAGAATGCCGTCGAAAGAGTACACTGTGAATAAAGAGCACACCATTAACCCTCTTATTACAAGCAGCTCAAAAAGTGTGCTGTAAACTGAATTTTTAAAAATAATTTTCAGTGGCTTTAGGAAACGCTGTGTATTTTTTGTGTTTATGAAAGAAGTCTCTTATGCTCATCTTAACTGCATTTATTTGATCAAAAATACCGTAAAATCAGTAATATTGTGAAATATTGTTTCAATTTAAAATAGACATTCTCTATATAATTATTTTAAAATATAGTTGTAAAATATAGTTACAGTATGAAAATATAGTTAATATATACAGAATATAATAAATACAGAAAATATAGAAAAATAGTTTAAAGTGTAATTTATTGTTGTGATGCAAAGCTGAATTTTCAGCATCATTATTCCAGTCTTCAGTGTAGAGAAATCATTGAAACCTTTCTTATGCAGCCTTGGCGAGCATAAGAAGCTTCTTTTAAAATCTTAATTATTCTTAAAATCTTAAAACTTTTGATTGTGTGTGTATAAATTTGTTTAAACTTTTTATTTTTAATGAATGGAGAAAAAATAAATAAATATATATAAATATATATATATACATACATACATACATACACTCATTAAAATAATTTACTTTTTTTTATAATAATTCTTTTTTTAACAATTTATATGATGACCAAACATGAAATTTACTTACTCATATTAATTATCATTTTTCAAGGGAAGAAAAAAATATATATATATATATATAAAATGTCATTTATTTTTTTAAAGACATCCAGAATAACAATGGTAATCCTCAACATAGTGTATTGTAGTAATATACATTGCTTGCAAAGCTAATAAAATCGGATTGTTACACTCAAAGAAAAATATTTAGGCCTAAATGTAAGAATTTGCATTGCATATCAAATTTCCATCAATTATTTTGAACAAACTAATAAACATAAAATGTGATGCTGATTCGAAGCAATCTGAATAAATGCATTTTGAAAATTATGAATATTTAAATAAAACCAAAGAGTTGCAAATAGTTAACCTATGCTATGTTTTTTTTCCCTTCAGTTTATTAGTACAGAAATCTTATCGTTTCATTTATGTAATATGTATGACTGACAGATATGTTTGTTTATGTTAACAACTGTGAAATCCAAACATATGAAAATTTTATATGCAATTCAAATACATAAATCTTACACTTAGGCATAAATTTTACATTGCATAAATATTGTACATAAATTTAAAGATTCAAAGCAACCAGCCATGTAAGTTAAAACAATAAAATATAGAAAGCTGATGATTTGTCAACGACGCTTGATATCATAACACACCTTCTTTGCCAAAGCAAAAGGGGACATGGATGACAAATAATATTTTAACTGCAGAATGTGTACTGTACATACATTTTTACATAATTTAGATGTAAATGCGATGGCTGCTCCAGGTGGAGTTATGATGTTCACACAAACATGAGTGTGAATCTGTATGACTGAAGCTGTTAGACACCAACAGTCTGATTCTCCGCTGCATTTATTACGCTTAACGAGAATATATAAAAGCATTTAGATGCAAGAGAAGTTGCCAGTGGTCTTTTATTTACTCTCTTCATCAGTTCCGCAAAGACAGCGCAGGCTTCCGGAGCGTTTCCGGTGCCGCGGAATTATGGGAAATCCCCATACAGATTAAAAGCCTTCGCTTTATTACAGGTAATGCTGTCTGAGGTACAATAAGTCGTTTTTAGAGTAGGTAGGTTTCAGAGAAATCAAAATATTTGTGGTCTACAGAATAATAATAAATATATTATTATTATTATTATCTTTTTTATATAACGTTATCATTTTAATATAAGTATATAATTTTATAGATGTTATATATTATATATAATTATATATTATTCATAATAATAATAATATGTTTGATTAAATATATTTTAATAAAATAGGATAATAATAGTAAGAATAATAAATTATTAAATCAAAATATGTCACGTTATCTCTCACTCTCTGTATATAATGCTATATAATTTTATATATATATAAAATCCCATTATTATTATTAATAATAATAATATAGGTTTTATAGCTAATGTTATAGAACTTCAATTATTTAAAAAATAAATTGTGACGATAACAATAATTGTTTTTATAATTGTTAATGGAATGCATTGTGACTTGAGTGATTGTTAACTCTTTACAAAGTAAAGCTTACAGACTATTCTTTAATGCAGCAAAATTGTGAAAAGAGCTGTTCTCTTTTGTGTAATTTGTAGCACAATATGTCATGTGTGTCTGATGATTTGAACATCATTTAGAGCAGCAAACCTACAGACGTGGTGCCTGCTTACTATCCTCAAATGATTTAAAATGATTTGCGACTGACATCCAGAGTGACACAGATATGATTGTTTCTCTAATAGCGTCCTGGAGATCCTGGCAGGGTCTCTCAAAGACAGGAGAAAGAGACCATAAGGTCTGACAGTACTTGGCAGCCGCTGTGTTGGCATGTTTTATTTCTGTGTCCTTATTTCTGTTATTCCAGTGCCACAGTTAATGGGCTGTTGAGCTATTATTGGCTACCTCAGCTTTATCATGCTTTCTTAATGGTAAAATTGTTCTTCTGTTATCATAAAACAACATGTGGACCTTTAAAAGAATCTATGAATCTTGTTCCACATGCTAAACAAATTAGATTCACTATAAACACATTTCTGCTTGGATATTGAGAGAACAGGTCTTAGTGGCTTGATTTTTCTAAGCAACAAAGCAGGTTGCTTCTGAACCTGCATGTAATCCACTATCTGTCGATGGGCATCATCCAGTCCAGTCGTTCCTCCTACCGGAGATGTATTACGCAGGTAATCTGATGCCATTGGTTGCATCAAGCTGTGGAGCAACCAGCTTTACCTTTAAATCAGTGTGTTGCTCTCGAGAAGCGTGCCGTCTACCTCCTGCAGATTGACCTTTGGTTCAATATGCTGCTGTATTACAAAACACAGGGAAGATTGAACCTGCTTACAGACTTCATTACTTTAGGTAAGGGACCGCATGTTTTCTTAGAAATTAATTTGTAGTCATTTTGAATGTGAATTTGTGACTGGAATACTAGTTATAATAACTTATGTTTACATGACATGTACTTTCGAATTTCATGCCTTAAATTAGATAATTTGTTAATATTAGTTAAAAAAAAAAAGTAAAATAATAATAATGATAATATTGATTATTATTATTAGTAGTAGTATTGTATTTAAATCTGCTATTTAAATCTAAAAGTATTTAAATCTGCTCATGTTGCGTGGTACTTCTTTTTACAGCGTTGTGGAGCATGATATGATGAGCAGCATGATAACCAATCACACGCGATTCTGTTGAGCTTTTGAATGCAATATCCAATCAGAGGCGTTCAAGGAGTTTTGTTCAGTGCGCGCGCTGGCTGACTGAATTCTGCACTCTGGCAAATGTTCCCATCATTAACAAAAAATGCAGATGTACATATGATGTAAGAAAGAAATTCATTTCACAGTGTAGACCGCTTCATTGATGCTCAATGCTCTTTGCTCGCTTTCTGTACAAATTATTCTGTTTGAATAACCCTGGAAATGAAAGTGTTAAATGAAAGCAATTAAAAATGTTGGGAAGGTTACTTTGGAAATGTAATCGGTTACAGATTACAAGTTACCCTATTTAAAATGTATCAGTAGTGTAACTTTTTCAATTACTTTATTAAAGTAATGTAACTGATTACTTTTTGATTACTTTTCTAAATTTCTAATGAATGTTTATTTGCAACTGTTAAAGGGGTGGTTCACTGGGTTTTTTCTAGACTTGATTGTGTTTATGGGGTGCGGTCTAACATGTGTTAATGCTTCGTTTAAAAAAAAAAAAATGTTTTTCACATAATTGACCTTTATTCCACACCGCTCTGTCCCTTCTCTGAGAAACGGGCTGATAATTTCCTTCTTTTATGAAGCCCCTCCCTCAGAAATAGGCTATGGGCTCTGATTGGTTAGCTAGCCCAGTGTGTTGTGATTGGCTAAACCGCCTCTAGTGCGCGTCTAAATGTCCCGCCCCTCTCCTCAGCGGCATGTGCTCCGGTTGTATTGTAAACAACTGCATCGTTAATATCACTTATCAGTTTGAGCCCGATTGAGAAGCAGAGGATATTATTGAAGAGGATCGTGCAGAAACTGTGCAAGCACGGCTTTTAACGGTAGGCCTATGTTTTTTGTTTGTTGTTGTCTCATACTTTTCGATATGCTGTAAATGCTACTGCTTATGTTAGCTTTTAATATACAGTTTTATCCTGATTAAAGCTTTAATACAGTACAGCAACC